GTGAGGAGAGTTCAGGAAGCAAAGTCTAATGACTAAAACTGTGGACAAAAGTTTTGGTGAGGAGAGTTCAGGAAGCAAAATCTAATGACTAAAACTATGGACAAAAATTTTTGGTGAGGAGAGTTGAGGAAACACAATCTAATCACTAAAACTGTGGACAAAAGTTTTGGTGAGGAGAGTTGAGGAAACACAATCTAATGACTAAAACTGTGGACAAAAGTTTTGGTGAGGAGAGTTCAGGAAGCAAAACCTAATGACTAAAACTGTGGACAAAAGTTTTACAATGTATGACTTTCAATCAAGTTCTACAAATATGTCCACCACAAACTTGACAAAAAAAATCATATATGGTTGTTAGAAATGAATGATTTTTAAATGAATTCTGCAAATACATAACCCACGTTTCCACAAATAATTGACCAAATACTTCAAGTTTGTTCTCCCACAGACAAAGCATGATAAGCATCAACCATTCCAGGCTGCATGTGGAATTTCAAAACGCAAACCATTGCATGCCTTGGGAAGAATGTTTTCAACACTTTTGACATCACTATTTTCCACATTATCAAACTTGCTTGAGGCTATAACAATTGATAACCTCAAGCTTTGAGGTTAAGGTTAATCTATATAATAACCCCCTTGAGGTTATTAATAACCTCAAAAAAAGAATAACCTCAAAGGTTCTTTTTAACCTCGGCTGATCTATAGGGTAGTTCGAGTTCGAATTCCAATCGACGACAATTTTGACGCCCGGAGGGGGGGGAAACGCAGTTCGAGTTCGAGATTTCGAATCGACGACAATTTTGACACCGGGGGGGGGGACCAGTTCGAGTTCGAGTTCGAATTCGAATTCGAACCGACGACAGCGATTTTGGAGTTCGACTCTTTCTATTCGTCCACTGGTTGACTTCTAACAGTTCCAGTTCGAGTTCGAGATCGAGTTCGAGATCGAGTTCGAGTTCGAGTTCGGTTCCTTCCATATATATCCTTTCAAGGTTAATAGTTAAAAGTTCATCAATACTGTATAACTGTTTCAGTTCGAATTCGAGTTCGAGTTCGAGCGGGGCACACTACGCCATGTCTGGAGCTTCTGGGGCGGCGCTACCCGCACCCATGTGCACCAGAGCGCGGATGCCCGCATCTTGCGCTGCATCTGGTTGGGAAGTTCCCTTCTCAAGGTCCTCCGCTGGTTCCTGAGGGTACAATTTGGCAAAGCGTGCGCGGCACTCTCTTTCATCCTGGACATCCAGGTGTTTGTCCATGCTTCCACTGCCTGTCAACGGTAATGTAGTCAGACTTCTTCTTGCTTGATGGAGCTTCACTCGTGGCAACCTCGGGTTTGTTTGCCGTACTGGGCGTTCCAGGCACGATTGTACCTGCGCCTTTGGGTTGCCAGGGCACACCTTTTATCTTCGCAAGGACGTCTGGGGTCCATCTTTTCTTTTCTGGCCTTCTGAAGGTTGTTCTGCATCGACGGATGCCCTGTTCTGTTCCCAAGAAGTGCTCGTCACTGTTGAGGGATTTTCCAAGCCAAACACCTACATTCGTTTGTGGGTCCAGCTTTCCAGCTTGGTTCTTCTCAAGCTTGAAGTGAACTACCTCAAAAAGGTTCTACGACTTGGCCACGGTACTCTCTTCCCCGAAGCCTTTCATATGGAGTCCGTCCATCAGCCTTCACTAGAAACCGCATTAGTAGCCATCCTGCATGCCTGACTAGCACAGGCACTGTACTTCCTCTTCCCCGCCAGGAGTTGCTAGCTCCCTTGCGTCCTTTGGGTCTGGCTTGCTTGCATGCAGAACACGTCCCAAAAAGCAGTAATCCAGACTCAATCGTGAAATTGCTTGCATGTTGACCGCTTCCCTTTTCTTACGATCATCTTCTTTCGCCTTCCCTGTAACACAGTGGTCCCACCAGCTACGAAAGGGAATGTGTGTGTGATCATATGTTGATTGTACTCGTCCGCACTTCCTTGTTCAGTGATTTTCTTTGATTAGAGGTTTTCGTTCCACCTCTGAAATTTCCAGCGGCGGCGATCCCAAAACCTTTCCCAATGACTCTGGGCGTAGAAGACGAGGAAGAATCGGCTGATTCTACTCCAGTATGCTCACCTTGCAGGAAAGGAGAGGCGGTCTGTTCGTCAATCTCCTTTTCAAACGCATCACTGGGAATGACTTTCTTTACGGGCTTCAAGGCTGCCATTGTCCTTGTCGTGGTGCTTCCCGCAGAACAAGGTTTAGCTTGCAACCAATACACGCCATGACTTTTCTTGAGTGGAACGGTTTGAGCTTCCATGACAGCTTGTCGAACCTGATCTGCATGTTTATCCATCATGATGCAATGAACGTTTGGCCCAATGATGGTCCATGTTCCACGTTCCCCGGTTTGCAGCTTGTCCTGCTGACATCACGTTGAACCCTACACGATGACTTTCGGAATAGTTAATCTGGAAGGTTCCACCTGAAGTTTCAATGTACGATTGCTTTTTTGTTGGTGTTTTCAAGGGTTCCCCTGTTATAGTAGTGAGCACTTTGCTACTTACATCTTTACACTCAAATGCATGGGGGTCAAAATTCTTCACGAACAAGTTTGACCCAGCACCAGTGTCTACCAAGATGTCTGTTGAGGGTACCAAAGCTGCGATGATGTCGTGGCCATCGTCCAAAATCACCTGAGGCAGGGCGGTGACAGGTTCAGGTTCTCGGTTCTCGGGGGCTGCAGCTTGGGCGCAGGGCTTCCCGCTACCCTTACCTTTGTTCTTGTCGGCCTTCTCGTCTGCTGCTTTCTTTCTACATTCTGCTTTGAGGTGACCCCACTTCTTACAGTAGTGACATTGTTTGTCAGCGTTGGGGTTGACAGTTCCACCTTTCCCTTTGTTATTTGAATGGTCCTTCTGTTCTTTTCCTTTACCGCCCTTTTGGTTCTTTCCTTTACCATCTTTACTGGGGTTCTTACCTTTACGTTTACCACCCTTCTTGAAAGGAGCCGCTCCTATGTCCATGGGGGAAGGCATCTGGGAGAGAACCCTGTTGGCCCTAGAAATCTCCAGCAACTCAGTCCTAACGTCATGATAGGTACGGAGTCTGGAAGAGTTTCTGATTACATGGTCTCTCATCGAGGTGTCTTGTATAGGCCATTCACAACTATGCCCAAGAGCAGCTCATCATCAATGTGCTTTCCACTCTCACTTTCATATCTCCGCACAGTCTTGTCAAACGTTTCTAGCTCAGCTTCCAAATCACCAGAAGAAAACCTTGTTGACAAAATCAGTGACAAGGAACCAACGTAGCGTGAAGCAACCCGTGGATGAAAAGTCTCATAGCGTCATAGAGCTTCCTATAAGTCTCTAGGCCTTCACCCGATTCAACATGGTAGGCAACATCCAACGCCCGACCACGAAGCAGCATGACCAACACAAAGCACAACTGGTTTGACAGCTGTTCTTCTCTAGCGTTTAGCCCTCGGTTGACCATTGGTGTTGAGGAACTCTCAGCTCGTTCCAACAAGGAGTTGAAAAGGGGGTCAATACATCCCATGTACGCTTTGAAAATAAACACCCAATCAGGAAGTCCTCTGCTTGTCCTTTGAATACTTCAGGCTTTCCCAATGTTCTGGTATCTATCAAGCTTCTATTTTGACTGCTTGACGTTGGCTCAGCGAACGTATCCAGTGAAACATTGCTGACTCGACGATCCGCGGCTTGCGTAGCTGCCAAGTTAGCTTCTTGCCTTTCTATCCTGGCCCTCAAAGAAGCCATTTCAGCATACTGCTGCTGGAGTAGCTGCAACAACTGCTGCGTTTGGTGGCTCGCAATCGCTTCCCCAGTCAGGCCCGCTTCCTGATCCATCTGGTGAAGCTATTGCCAGATCGGATTCCTCCTCTGTATCTTCTTGTTGAAGAAGATCTTCTGTTCGAGGAAAGGGTTTTGACTCCAGATTGGCTTTGGGCTTCTTGGTCGCCGGTTCAATCTCACGGTCTGGTAGCCCTTGATACCTGAGAGTTCGGTCTTGTTCTGTATTTCTTGACCTCCTATAAGTTTCGCAGCTGCAAAATTTTCTGCAACAGGACGGTTCGCCTTGGTCTGCTCGTCACAACTTGAGCACAAGGGAGGCAGACTGGCGATGATGGAGTGGCGAATACTTCCTTTTGGTGATTCTGGGCAGCAATCCCAACAAGGGCCTTTCTCTGCCAAAACCTGTAAGTCTTCCACTTGTCTTTGGCTTCTTGGATTCCTGCTCTCAAGTCCTCTGCGCGCTCACGTCGACACTGAAGTTCTGAAGCGACTGAATGTAGACGAACTGTCTGCCTTGGTGGTGATTAGGCCCTTGGGCTTTTTCACGCTTTGGAACTCGTCTTTCAAGAGGAGGGCGGTTGTGCTCCTGCTTCTGATGGTGTTCTCTTCGAACGCGTCTCACTTTCCTCGGCCCTTTGACCTCAGTAGTGCTGCGGGCCCTAGCACTACAGTCCTCGTCAAGCTTCTGGGCTGCTTCCTGTTCAGCCCTTGCAATGACTCTTTCCGCTCTGCGGACGGTGCCCCTTTCCTGTCTAGAAAGGGTGGCAAACCTGTTTTCCCCTTTTGTTCTTTTTCGGGGGAATTTATGTTGGTCCCCTGTCGGTGTGGGGCCACCCGCAACCGACTCAGTACTCACAACTGGCGCGGTACCACCCGCAGCCAGCTGCAAGCTTGAAAAGCAGTCCCTGATCGGTCAGGGCTCCGCTACCATGAAACACCAAGAGCGCCCTACCTCGCTCGGGCACTCAGCAAAAGGGGCTACATGACTGACATGCAGCGAAGTCTCAAGTTCCTTCAAGGTTATCTTACATACATGAACATGGGGTGGAATAGTCTTTACATCTCAACAACCGCCAACACTGAATTTGATAGAAACGCCATCTTGGCACAAGATCTTTGTGTTCGGTATGCAGGGCGCAGCTTAAAGCAATGTGAACATGCGCAAGAGATCTCAGCAAATTGCTCCAAGCACAGTCAGAGCCATGGGTCCTGCAAGGACATTTCTGCCACCTGCTGCGTCCACGTCATCCAAATGGATGGCAACTCGTGGAACATTCCTCGTTGCAGACCCTGCGACACATCAAACAACATTCCAAACAGTTGTACTTTACAAACTGCACTGTGAGGAGGCCTGAACGATGAATCGTAGGGAGCGTTCAAGCGTCCGGCCAGTCATTGGCTCGCCTCCAGGCAAAACTGTGAAGCGGAACATTCAAGGACCCAAAGTGAGGGTGAAGGTCTCCAAATGTTCAACAAATTCATCACAGATTGTCTTAGGACCAGGACCTTCAAAAGATCTGGCATGGAGGCTTCCGAGAATGTGCTGCTTCAAATCACCCAGTTCCTCGGAATTTAGGGCCAATAAAACTTGTTGAGATCCACAAATGCAATCACAGGAAACATACTGCAGCGCTGGGCCGTCGGACCTTCTTAAATTCAGGTGTAAGCTTCGTCCACTCGAGTTTTGACAAATCCTGTGCTTCTTTCAGATGTGGTCAGCAGCGACGGTCAGCATGTGAAATCAACAGAACTTCACATTCACATGAGACCAAACAGGAATTGAATACAATCTCGCACGCGCACTTGCAGATCAGATTTTGATGTTGCGGGCAAAAACAATGTTTTCACCTCAGAACAGCAGCTTGTTCAAGGACTTCAGGCACATGATCTACCTTTCGTCTGAACCGCACACCTTCACATCGCTGTAGAGCCTGGACAAAATGTGGATTTCCTCGCCTCCGCCAAACACAATGCCAGCGCTAAAAAAGCTTGTAGCCATGGGACAAAACTGTTCGGGTGTCTAGTTTTCTGACTGGTTTTCAACATCTGTGAAAATGATTCAATGCTGTTCAATGTCATCGCAGGACGGTTCTGAGCTGCAGCAAAAATTGACTCCTTCCAGCAAAAGGATGCAAAAAGTGTCGTTGGCACTAACTTTGCCTGCAGAGTCGTTCACGTGCGACAAATAAGACCTGCATTCCACACAGAAAAACAACATGGGGAACCTGTCAGTTTTTCGTTTCATAGGGCTATATAATAACAATCCTTGTATCTGTAGCATTTCACACACGTGAGAGAAGACTCCCCGAGTGCAAACATTCGGTCTGCCGCCATGGACTTCTCTACAGCTAAATTCAAACCTTCCACAGTTGCCCAGTTCCAAATTGCGCCAGCTAGCGAAGTGTGCATTGACATGTCCAGGGGCACCTGAACAGTTCTGTGGTAAGAACTGGTGCAGGGGCTAAGTTCCTCCTACACTAATGATTGATTGCATTCAACAACGCATCGTCCTTCTTTCGGTTCGCTGTTCGGACAACCGGTGAACCACAAAACCTCCAGGCACGGCGACCATGTTTGAACATCCGGTATAATATACAAATATATATATATATAGTTTTGTAATATGGACATGGGATTACATATATAGGCCAAGTCCTAAGTGCATTATGTGACCTAAATACAACACTGGCATACTCTAGGATGGGAGGTGTCGAGTGTCGAGAGTATGTCGATTCTTGTGATTTGCACCTACCTGTGGCTCTGATTTTGACGGCAAGTGCGCAAGAAAGAGGAGAACCTATCACCACCAAAGCTAAAGAAGAAAAGAATGGCATGGGCGGTGAGCCTCACCTTCTCAGCTATGCTGTGGAGGACTTCAATTTCCTTTCACCAACATGGAACCACTATGACCAAAACAAACAAAGCCCTGACAGCGAAGGGAATCTTGTTGGCTTGATTTCTGGTTGTCCACTGCTTCGTTGAACTTGCTGGGTACAGCAAACGCATCTTGCGGGCAAATGTTTGAAAGGTTGTGTTCATGCTAATGCCAAGCCATCTCGGTCGACTTGAAATTGCAAGGGTATGTTTCAACAAAATAGGAACCGAGAGCAGCCATTGCGTTGCCTCGCGCAAGCCCGTTCCAAATCATTACAGAATGTTTCTTTCTCGATTTGAGAAGGGGAGCGCTGTGGTCAATTTTGAGTGCTGCTTGGCAGAAAAAGCTCTCTGAGTCTGCAAAACCGGTAGGCTCGCCATCCAACACTGTGGTCGAATTGCTGGCCTGAGCCAAGCTGTTGCTGGATCCATAGCATGGGCAACTGACTCAGGCATCTCCTGAACAAAGTCCTGCCAGCTTCGACAACCAACATCTGAAACTCATGAGGTTTGACACATCAAGCCGCCTCGACAACCCATGTCAATGGAGGAAAACTTCGGACACTGAGAAACCTTGTCTCCCAAAAAGGAACCCTGAAAACACGTAGAAAAACAGCAAATCAGAGCGCACCAAGGGCTGGGCTCTGGTGTGACCAAAGTAGCGGGCTCTGTGGAGGTTCGAGTGCGAAACAATTGCGCTCGCCGCGCTAACATTTCAAGCAGGTTCACGGCCTCGCGAAGTCTTGGCCGAAGACTGCGAAACTGCCGACTTGCAGGAACAAAATTGTCCCTCCTTCACTCTGGTCTCCGAAAATAAAGTGTAAGTTATAAGATGTTAGAAGTATGGTTTTCATGCGAAGATTGGGGTTCGGAAACCTTGAAAGCTGCATTGCTCAGCCTGCTGGTCAATGACCTTCACGGTGTTGTACCTGAAAGCAAGGTTTTGCAAGCAAGGGCGCTTTCAAACACGTTCAGCTCTGGATGCGCCCTGATGTCATTTCTCGCAACTTTGTTGCTACAGGCGGCCATTCTCAAGTGCTTGCACATGCAGACACACTGACAATGTGCTTTCAAGCAAGAGTAAGACTGAGCAGGAGCATAACTACCATATAGCACCATGCAGCCAGTCCCAGCATTGCTGGCGTCACTCTTTAATTTGGTGCCTACATTACACTTCTTGCAGCTTGCTGGGCCGCAACACCGCCCAAGAAACCGGCAAGGAAACGGTCTGACTCGACACCCACATGGCTTGCGCTGCTTGCGCTTCTCCGGGAAGTTCCCCGTGAGTCCAGCCATATGTCGGGCACAAGATCCAATTCCAAAGGGGTCTGTCGAATTGACCGGATCTTCTCCATTGCTGCTAGCACACCGTGAAAGCTCTGTGAATCCGTGTCCTTGGCTGCAACAAGCACAAGCATCGCTTCATGAGGTTCTATTCAATTCCTTGCAAACGACCTCTTCTCGCTTCTCGCCTATCAAAGCGTAAAACCAAAAGTTGAATGAGGCCCGTTCTCAAATTTTCCTGCATAACAGCATTTGGTGCCCCGAGGATGTCAGTAGTTGCAAATGTTCTTGGTGCGAGGTACAAGTACGTCACCGCTTTCGCTCTTGGCTCTCAAACGTCTCATAATATACTGTAGTGTGGCCAAAAAGGTACTGTAGAACAGGGCGTTCTTGGTAGTATGACTTTGCAGAGGTTCAAACGTTGCGTTGGACATCGTCGCTTGCTTTGTGGTTCCTTTTGTCCCTGGTTCCCAGGCATGCACCCACAGACTCACAGCGTGGGGGCAGCTATTCTTGCTCGGGTACTCAACACCAACGACTTGGCACACGCGTTGTGTTTGGAGCCTTCGGCTTGGCAAATCTCACGCAAAGCAATGGAATGGGGCATGGAAGGACGCTTTGAAACCTGCAGAACAATGGCGGTGTCAAAAATGCGAGGTGCTTAATTGGACAAGTACTATGAAGAATGCAATTCAGTTTTTTGAAGCGCTATGTGGCTATGTCTATGTGACATATTGTTTGCGCAAACAAAAATCCAGAGCGGCTGTGAGCTACTCCAACCTTACCTTTTGTGTGCCACGCCAAGATAGCCATTGGAACCTGGGTAACTTTTACGGGCCACCTAAGGCCAAAATGAGGTGCAATCAAAGTGTGCACCACACCTTGCTCGTCAAACCAAACAAAGTACAAACATCAAGATAGCCAGCCAATAAACAACAAATATATATATATACAAGAAAACCCGGTTAGAATGCACAGAACCACAATAAGTCAATAGATCCTACTAGTATTGTGGCCCACCGGCAGCCCTGTACCACCCTCGATGTTGCATGGTGCAGCACAGCGGCATAACGCAATACAGATTGACGGTACGCGCTCTTGAGCTCAGCGTTGGAGCAGGAAGGGTCCACACCCAGCACAGAGTATGCCTGCAAGCAAAACGAGAGGTTCCGACGTACCCAAAAACCAACACAACAGTGCCCAACATAATGTCGTATAGGCACAATTGACCAAAGAAACCACCAAAGTTAAATTTCCCAGCCATGGAACCAATTGATTTGGCGGGTTGAGGGCAACAAAAGTCGATAAAGCCCGACAAGTCAAAGTTAGGTTCGATTGTGACTTCAGGGCAACACCCTCTTTGCCCGGCACATTTGGAAAGAGCCTGGCCTAGTGACACCCTCTTTGCCTGGCCTAGTTGAAAAAGAGCCCTGCAGAACATCGGGACTGTTTTGCACATTTGGTTTGGTACTCCGTTTTTAGTTTTGGTCATTTCACAAGGGTTATGAGCCCAAAACAACCGACAACTGATGCTCCGTCGCCGGCGAACGATGGTGTTAGGATCTTCACTCGCTTTGCCTCCACCCGAGGAGGGCGCCTTTTTTTAACAAGCGAAATGCACTTGCAGGAGCCATTCAGAGATCCATTGCTCAAGGTGTAGTCCGGCGGCGCTGTGTCACACACTGTCTCCCGCAGGTCGTTCACATAGCGCTGCAAATCTTCTGGAGGCACAAGCGTGATGCCATAGTCATAAAGAACTCGGTCAACCTGATAGATTTCAGCCACCTGAGAAGGTGGTAGTGTCACGGGTGAGGACGGCAAAGTTTCCCAATATTCAACGTGAGCTCTGCAAAGGCTGCAATCTCCAAACCCGGGCTTGGCCTCACAAACTGCGCCATCAAGCGCAATGCCAGGGCACCGGATCACCCGCACTGGAGCAGTCTGCTTGGTTGTACCTGGTGGCGCTTCATGATATTTGCACTCTGGGCAATCCAAATTCCATCCAAGAGCACACAAGCACAGCTGGCGCAACACAAACTCCCAGGAGCGGCTCGTGGGCGACTTGCTGCTTTTGCAGTACCACCAGTCCGACCTTTGCCTGTGGGTCTGGTGCTCCAGTTGGTGCGTTGAGATGAAGTCGAACGGCTGCGCCAATTGGAACCAGATGAGTCATCGCGGCGGTCATCTCGATCATCTCTGTTCCACTTCCATGCTGACTGATCCGGAGCGCGTCCTGCCAATTGGACCATGGTTTGCGGCCCTTTGATTTTCCCTTTGTTGGGGACTCAGGTGAGGAAACCCGAGGTCGGGTTGATCCCTTTCCATAGTCTTCAATCTGCACGCCATAGTCTTGAAACACCTGTGAGACTGTTGCAATCATTCCCGACGGCCCCCTGCAAAGGGGGTATCCAAATTGCAGCTGTGGATCTGGGATGTTGGCCACATCAAAAGCTTTTGTGAAAGAATGCCGGGCGACCGTGGTTTTGTCCCTCGATGTCTCGAGCAGCAAGTGAATCTACAAACGTTTGCAGTGCGTCGTCGTCCATCTTTTGCCTCTTTGGAGAAGATCGTCGATCTGGTTGGGCTTTCTGCGCTTTCAACTCTTGTAGCAAAGCATAGTCAAAGCAACTAGGAGCGAAGCTTCGTGCCAAATGCCTCGAGGAGGGCGCTGCACGGGTGAACCCATCGCCCCTGCTTCTTTGAATGTTCGGAAGGAGGATGGCAACTCTGACTGCTCAAAGCGATAACCGAATGAGTCTGGGAACCTACGACGATGGCTTCGCTGGAGGGCTCGAGCTCAGGAGATTCGAGCCGCTGAATCTGACCCCTCGATCTTGGTGAAAGGCCTCAACAAGTTGACGAAAAAGACCTTGGTCGCACATGAAGGACTTTGGTTCAGGGTCTCTCTTGCCCGGAACTCCTTGCAGGTTGACACCAACCCGACACCAGTCTCGGTCTCTCAGTTCGCCGCCCATCTCATTGGCGAGATCGACCAGCTCGCCCTCGGCGGGAAGCGAAGTGCAGGGGCGCAAGGAAAGAATGCTGAAGGAAAAGTCAAAGAGTTGGAAGCGAAGCAACCGCGCAAATTCTATCTCACCGAATCTGGTTGCCGCCATGGGAAGGAATGCAGGTGGCCCCATGACCTCAAAGATGATCAACGCAGATGCCACTCTTGTGGCTCCTATAGTTGCCCAACCAAGGACTCTTCCAATTCTACATCTTCTATTTCACCGCCCAACGTGTAGAAGGAAAAGGAAGGAGAGAAAGGGAAGAAAGAGGAGGATGAAAAGAGTGCAGGAGGTGGGACTGAAGGTGACAAGATGGATGAGCTGTTGGGAGAAGCCAACAAGATGCTAAGGATGATGAAAAATAAAGAGATGTCCGAGGCCAAGATGAACAAGCTTCACCAACAGCTGGGCGAGATCAAAAGAAGTACTGTATCAAAACGCTGAAGCACACAAGAGTCAGGGGAGCGAAAATGGGGAATACAAAAGATGATGAACTTGACTCAAGAGCTATGCGTCGACGGACCGGGCCGAAAATCTCAAAAGGTTTCAGTGTCTTTGGCTGACGGACGCACGACCCCGCTGTTGATGACAGAAGCTGGCGCGATGGTCTCCACCAACGTGTCCGTTGAGCCGATTGTGCGTCTGGGAATCCTTGCTGGCGGTAGTTGCAGCATTTCCTGATAAAAGAATTGCACGCGAGTGGCGCATCCCACCAAGGGACCCTACCCGCATCCAAGCTGGATGTCCCCAGGTTTTAAAGGCCTTGGCGCTCGAGCTCATCAAGGAGTACGAGGAAAGGGCAGTTGAAGTCAGACACGCCCTCATTGATGGTGAAACACACGGCAGAAAGGGGGAAAGTCTCACAATGATTTCATGTCATCTCTGTTCACGACCAGTCAGTGTCTTCCAGAGATGATGCTTCGAATTGCGAGGGTATAACCTGGACACTTCTTCTTGAAGATCATGTTCTGAGAGTGACTGACTGAGATGCGCTGTTCTAGCCTTAGCTTTTGACTTAGGTCTCAACATCGGTTGTACATACACGCGATGGCCTTTTCCACTCTAGTCTGGACGCGCGCAGCGATGGGAAAAAATTCCGCTGCGCATGGTTGTTGGAGCGGCGTCATCCACTCTTGCGGTGTGGCTCTAGTGACTAGTGCCATACAGCTTGTGAGCGTGTCAGAGAGAGAGAGAGAGAGATTGTTGCCATGTACTGGGTTGAAAACCGCCCGTGAATCTTGTAGCGTAGTCAGCTTGTCAGCTATGCTGGGGAAAAGGAAGGGTTATTTCTAAGAGCATGGTTTGGGTTCCTGAAGGGGCAGATTCGCCGCCTGCTTGGTATGGCATGCCTTCCTGCGAATCGATGGCCAGAGGCGCGTCACTATGTTCATGAACGTGAACGTCGGAGGTTGGACGACAAGGATGTATGAATGATGCCCCACTTTGCCATATGAATTGTTGGTCAAGAAGTTGAAGGTACTCATGAAGCGGCGATGCACTTTGCTCCCCGACCTGATGCCCATGGACACTACCCGTTTCCTAGGGGTGATCCTTGTGATGGAGGATAGGGGAGACGCTGACGACAGGGTCATTTCGTGGTCAACTTTCCGGTTTCGTGCTCATGTCCCCCTGGAATTGGAAACTTTTTGCGAAGATTGCTGAATGGTTATTTTGTTCAACATTTTGAGGTATAGTATAGATAAAAATCAATCGCCTTTCGAAATGTTTTGGCTCAGCGTTTTGTGGGGCCCATTGCTGCGACCTTTCTCGCATTGCCGTGGTCTCAGCGCAGTCTTGGCATTCGTGATGCATTCATGAATTCTGGCAGACATGCGTGGGTGATCGCTCATGACACTTTAGCTATATGTTTTCGGCTCAAACTGCGCTGAAGGTCATGGACGTTGCAAAGGAGGCGCGGACGCTTCATGTTGCAACTTACGTTTTTAAGTCATAGTGCGTATATATGTGCTTTGCAGATACGTCACTGGAAGGGGCCGCCACGTGGAGCACAAAGCTCAGATTGAAAATGTAGAGCCACAACTTCACGCACAATGAACTGAGGCTCGATCAAAGGTCTTTGCCAAACCAAATGTCCTGAGAGACAGAATGACACAGAGGAGACAGCTCCGAAGCTGTGGAGAAGGAATTGGAGGGGATTGAAGATCTTGAACGCCGGACGCTTACAGAGACCTATCTTAACTTCAAGCGGACGCAGGCTGGGATTCAATGAGTCTTTCAATGCTGCTGCAATATCATTTCCAATTTTTGCAGGCGGGCTTCAGGCAGCAAAACTACTGGCGCAAGCCAGCGCGCCGGCAGCCACAGCTCAACCCAAGGCAATGCCAGCCAAGCTTCCAGCCTTCCAAAAGCTTGGTCGAGACGCAGCCAGCCTTCGTGGCCTGTCTCCAGAAATACTTCTTCATCCTGCTCGTGAGAGCGGTGATTTAATTACTGAGGCCAGGCAAAGGCAAATGCACAGGCGCAGGAATGAGAGGTATGTCCCATTTCCAAGCTGTGAGCTTTGCGTTTAGTGGTTGCTGGCAGGCTCATGCTTCAGCGAGATCATCTCAGCAACGCGGGCTTTAATGATGCCTTGAGAGCTGATCAGGCCCTTCTCCCAAGACAGCTTGAGGAAGACAGATTGGCACTTGGAGCAGTCTCAAACTCAAACTCATTCATCACAGCCCATTTATTGAGTTGCGAAATGCTCAGGCTTGCCCTGATACCAATCTGCACGCGCGTGGCCACCGCACAAGAGTGCGCAAACTAGCTTTGGTTCCACACACTCATCTATCCTTTTACTTGTAGTTTTGGCCTGTGCATTTCTGGGTGTTTGGTTTGCATCTTAGGCCATGGACCCTGCAGATGGTTTGGGCTTTGTGTGGCCACGTGTTTTCACTCATGATTTTCCACGTGTTTTTCACGCGTGGGTTTAGTGGTTCTTTTTTGTTTCCCGCGCAGGCATTTTTTGCATGCGTGAACCAAACATCACGCGTGACATTCTCATGAATGACTGTAAGGGTCAGGCATGCAATGTCATGAATGCTTTGAGAATTTCGCGCATGGTGTGTCCACTCATGAGCATGTATTTTCACTCATGATTTTTTGAGCTTGAAACTGGCTGGCTCAGGTCAAGTATCGCTGGTGGCATCGATCACCAAGTGCCCCCGCAAGGGATGATTGAAACGCCCATCTGCTTGAACAGCTTTCAGCTTTGGGCTTGGGGCCATTTGGGCTTCAGAGAGGAAGGGTGAAAACAATAAGGATGGGTAGACTCATCAAACAACTCTCCAATGACCCTGACCTTTGCGAGAAGTACGCCGCGGCGTTTAGAGCAGAACCTCGTTTGACGGAGGCCAATTTTCTTGCATTGTTTGATTCAAGCAGAGGAAGGATTGAACACTTTGGCAGGCGGGCATGTCCTTTGTCACTGCGCATAGCACACAGCTCTTCAGCAAACAGCCCACACCTTGAGCGATTGCGCGATCAACACAGAGGCCGTAATTTCTTGAGCGCGTTGCTCGTGAGAATTAATTGATGGATTGTTTGCTGGAGGTGATCAACGCGATCATGGTCACTACACCATGGGTCCGGCTCAGTGAGGATGTGATCAGCAAGCAGTTCTACACAGACAGGCTACCGCTTGGCGTCGCCATGGCAGCTCTCTCTGAGAAGGGCGTGAGAGACGGCGTCAGCTTCAAGGAAACTTGTGGAGCGCTTCCGCAATTTTTTCAGGAGACGCCTTCTGGAGCAAAGCTTGCTTCAATAGCTGCACTCAAAAGAGGGCTGGTTGACGCTGGTATTGACCCCAACCATGGGGACGCAGAGGAACCAGCGCAAGCCACTGAAGAGGACCTGCAGCAATTAGTGCCTGCAGATGTAGCTCTAGTGAATATTGCAAAAACAAGCAGGAGGCACAGGAACCGCCAAAGGCAAGACCTGTTGCTGCGGCTGTGCGCCAAAGCTTGGGACAAAGAAACGGAGCCTGTTAAGTCCTTCAAGATTCAAGACTACAGATGAGGAGACAGACTGCGATGAAGACAATGTGGAAAAGATGCGCAAGGGAAAAAACAAAGCCAACGAAGAAGGGAGAGCCGAAGAAAAAGGCAGAGCCCAAGAAGAATACAAAGAAAATACGCTAAGCCAGTGACCGCAGGTTCAGAGGGGGAAACTGCCCTTGCTTTGGAGGACTCTGCCGAGCGTCAAGTGGTAGCTGGGGTTGCTGCTGCGGAGGCAAAGTCTGAAAGACTGAGGGCGAGAATCGCTACAGAGCAGGCAACTTCAATGAAGCATGCCTGCGGTACATCAAGACGGTTCGGGAACAGCAGAAAATTCCACGCAAAAGAGCTCACGAACTTTGGACGCTTTCGACGCTTTCTACGGCGAGATCGGACCTTCTCTCGGGCTTGTCCGAGAAGGAACTGAAGCGCAGGAGGTTTCTTTAGCGCCAGTGGTGAGAACACGACTTGCACAAACGCAGTAATTCTAGCAGCAGCGCGCGTAATACATACGTGTTTATGTTGCCAAGCAGCTTCGACTTCACAGTCGTGGGGAAACGAAAGGGGCGGTTCGTGACCGAGCGACCGGAACGGCATGGTGGGTGATCAGGGTGGCAGAACAGCAACTTTCACAGCCACATCAAAATAAAAATATCATATAGATCCTTTCAAAGACTCTCGTATAATAAAGCAAAAAATTTCAATGAAAAAATGTGATCCTTAAGTTCTATACTGTTAAAAGACTATTATGAGGTACACACGTATGAACGAAATGAAAACATGCACCGCCACTGGTAAACAAATGTGATAAGGCGAGACGGATGCGGCGGCTCGATGTATGAAGATATTTGAGGGTGCGATGATGTAGGTGTACTCAGTATTCACCGGCCTTTGCTGCAACAAATGTCGCTAACATCTTCGCTTTGCTGTAGCTGAACAATCTGAACATAGAATCAACCGCCGCTGAAAATTACCAACCGGACAAACCTTATCAAAACTTGAAAACACGAACCGCAAGAAGCATATGACCAACAAAAACTATCATTGCACATACAGCCCGAGCCTCCAGAAGCTGAGGCCTTCAAGCACTGTCGAGCGCTGTAACTCCCCGACCGGTGTTCGCAAAATACTTTGCGTGGAGTGATCCCCACCATGGATTCTGCTGACAACCGACGCCTTTATTGCTTCACAAGGAAAGTGTCTATCTTGCAAAAACCTCAACCGCGAGCGCTAGATCGTAGCGGGCGCCGCCGGACCTCAGCGCTAGATCCCTGCAGCGGGGCGCCCTAGATTGCCCCGGCACGGGGAAATCCTTATCTCACGGCTAACTGGTTAACTTGAAGGAGTCAGCAGCTCCTTCCCCTTAGCTCTGGAGTGAGGAATCCTTATCTCGGGGCTTGAGGGCTAGATCGCTGTGGGCACGAAGCGAGCGCCAGGTCGCAGTGGGCACCGCCAGGTCTGAACCAGGTCAACAATATTGCCCGATAGAATGCCAGAATTCATGCGTCAGCATTGTCATAAACCGTCAGAAAACAATCCCAGAACATGTGTTAAAAAGTCAAAAAGAATGTCAGGGCGAATGCCAGAAACAATGTCCGAGGATATCCACGTGCGCTTTGATCAAAATGTAACAACCCTCACCCGGCCGGTCTTGGAAAAAGATATCTTGCATTTCCGCCGCAATCTCAACCCAACATCATCATGAGATAAGGTCCTGGCTCAAGGGGGAATAGCTGAGTAGATGAAGTTGATGAACGCCCTGATTGAAGCGTTCATCCGAGCGCAGGAGCAACAAACTCAGGCAGGGTAGTTCAACCTATTGCACTCCAATTTAAGCGCCCATTCCAAACCTTTTGAACAGTGAAGTAAAAAACTGAGAGCGTCCCGTTGACATTAAGTAGTCCACTTTAAATACGGCTTTGTTTGCAAGAGGAAATTAACTTGGTTTGTAAAACTGCTGACAAAGACTTTACATCATAGTCTGTCATCATTGTGCCTCAATTAAGCCTTTGCGCGATCTTTTCTTCTCAATCTAAGATTCGTCTCTTTGAGCTCTTGGAGCTCTTGGAGGAGCGGCTTCTACATCGAGCACTCCGAGGGCTCGGGGCAGTGAGCTGTTCCAAACAAACAGCTGCCTTGGCTCAGCGCCGCCAAAACATAACGCAAGTTCCCAAAACCCACAGCACCCAATCACGTTCCACTTTTCAAAAAACTCCATCGCGCTTCAAGTCGAGGCACCACTTCGCGGCCACCCAAGCTGCCTGCAAAACCACTGCACCCAGCAGCAGCTGCCACAACGACGCCACTAAAACCACTCAGGACAGTTGCAACTGCCATTGCCTCAGCTTGGTGGTCTGAGCAGAAACGCTAGATAGTTCAAGAAACACGGTAGGCAATCAATTGCGTTTATGCCTGCGCCTTGAATATATACATACATACATACATACATACATACTTACATGCTTACATGCTTACATACATACAATACAGAAACGCAAGCTTTTGAAAACTGAAAACAAGTTTGGCCTGCAAGCTGCCACGCGAAAAGAATCCAAACGTATAATTATGATATACCCAATACTGCGGCCGGCAGAAACGTCCTATATACTGTGATCATCCTATCTGTCCTGATCGTTCCACCATACAACAAATATATATATATATATGCATACGCTGTCACATTGCGTGGGTCAGGGCTGGTACCAAAGAAAAAGGAAATAGACCCAAACAAACGCAAATAGACAATTGCAAAAAGCGGAAGGACAGCTGGCGCAGGATCAGTTTTTTGGGCCGGAAGTTTGGTTAAAGTAGTTTTGGCTGGGTGAGGACCAATAAGCACTGACAATTACGGCAAACTGGAAGGGGTGCTGCAAGCGCAGCAAGCTGGTCCGTTGGAAAGTGTACTATGTTAAACAGGATGTGGAGCAGCTGCAGCACACCCAACGTATATGGGATTTGGGAGCTGAAGCAAGTTTAACCCTGCTGGTGATTGCACACCTGTTATCAATGCTATGAAATCATGGCTTATGGCACTGACACCACTACTTGAACAATGTGGCAAAGGCAAATTTGATCAAAAGTTGCACAGCAGTGGTCAAGAGACTTTCTAAGTCATTTTTGCGTCGTGACAATTTAAATCCTTTTTGTAGTTTTTGCACGATGAAAAGTTCCCCAAACAGTGTAGACACGCTTAGGGGTTCTTGCGGTAGGTCTTAAGCACCTGTGTTAGATCGTTGTGTCGCGCGGGCGTGTGCGGCTAATTCGTTGCTATTTACATTACATTCACGCCTCTCGAAATCGTCGACGCACAGGCTCGCGAAATCTAGGGCGGCCTCGGCGGGCGCTTGTCGCGACTGGCGCTTGTTGCAACTCCGCTTTCGTTGTGGCGCCACGTGCATTTTCGGACACGGTGGTCTCTTTTCGTGGCAGGCGCACGGGAAACCTCATGTTTTCGTGGTCTAATTTTCGTGACAGGCGCAAGGGATCGGAGCGTTTTACTTCGAAGCGCAGATTTCGTGGCAGGCGCATCACCCTCAGTCTTCGAAGTTAGCGATTTTACATGTTCAATGATTTTTACGTAAATTGAAAATTGTTGGTTCCAAATCTACATAAATGGCAGTTTTACCTAATTTCATTTAGGTATCAAAAGCGCACCAAAAATGCATAGAAAATGCACATAAAATGCAACAAAAAACACAAAAGACATTGAACAAATATTCAAAACACATGAGCAACAATCACGGGAAATCATAGGAGCAACAGCGCAAGTTCCTGGAAGCTCTTCTAAACAGAAAAGTGGCCAAGTAAGAGAAGAGAGAGAAGAGATAGAAGAGAGATAGAAGAGAGAGGGAGAGAGAGAGAGCAGAGAGCAGAGAGAGAGAGAGAGAGCAAAGAGAGAGAGAGAGAGCAAAGAGAGCCGAGACAAGAGAGAGAAAACCACCTTTGAAATGAAGCCTCAAAGTGCTCTCAAGTGAAGAACTTTCAAAGGAAGAACTCTCAAGTGAAGATTTTTTAAATAGAAAGCCTCTCAAGTGAAGAAACCTGTCAAATCTCAAATGAAAAACTCTCAAAAGAACAATTCTTAAGTGAAGAACCCTCATGTGAAGAAACCCCTGAAGTGAAAACATATCATATTATATTGCGATGTTGTGTGGAGCCACTCTTGGATTTGCCTCTCTGGCAGTGTGAACTTACTCGAGCATTTGTTTGAGAAAAGTTCGGAGTTCTGTGATGCTTTGTGTAAATTCTTTGCGCATTGCCTGCAAATTCTTTGTAAAGACTTCGAATTCAGTTGGCCTGCATTTATTTGAACATTCAAAGACTGTCAATAGAATCATGAAATCATGCGTTGCGATGGGAGAGATAATTGAACATTCATGGGTCTACTTGATCATCCTGGGGTTTAGTTCAGCATTCATGGATTTACTTGAGCATTTTGAGAGTTACTTGAGCATTCATGTTTACTTGAAGAACAGTCATTGACTTGAGCATTTAGAGATTTAGGTGAGCAATCACAGGTTTACTTGAGCAATGAGTATGTGAGTACCTGACGCAATCTAGAATTTCCTGAGATTGTAAGCTTGCCTGAGCTTCTAACTGGTAGAAACCTGGAGTTCTGGAGCTCAAAAGCTTTGGTTAACTCGCTTTATATTCTAAAGATTTTGATAAATTGCTTTATAGTTCTTTGTAAACTGCTTACGCATTCCTTATGCATTCTTTATGCATTTCTTGTGCGCTCCTTATGCATGTTTAAAAGCGCAAAGGGAGTTCATACCATGTTTTAAAACATGTATGAATTTTAAAGGGTGCATAAGGAGTGCATAAGAAATGCATAAAGAATGCATAAGGAACACATTTGAAAAAGGTTTGTTTAGACTAAGTCTTACAATCCTTTTTCAAAGACTTTTCTAAAATCTTTTGATCTTACTTGAGCATTCCATGAGGCTTAAACAAGTTGCTCAGGTACAGCCAAAGGTCTCATGTACATCAAGCCGTCAACTTGGAGCTGACGCAAACACACGCAACAAAAAAATGTCATGTAAATGAAGTGTTCAACTTCAAGCTCATGTAAGTACACAAGGATTCTTTAAAATCAAGCCTCACAACATCCTCATGAAAAGGACAACAGGAGCTCATTAGACTTGGTCCAAAAGGTTGTCTATGGCCAATCTGGTTTTGAAGCCATCAGTTGAACAACTGCGCACACTTGCATTCATCCAGAAGCTTTTGGGCGATCAAGTGATCTGATCCAGAAACTATTGAAAAGTGCGTAAGGAATGCATAAGAAATGCATAAGGACTGCACAAGGAATTTAAAAAATATCTCAAAATATCTGAAATTGTTTGCAAGGTTTTCTCAAAAAAACAAGAACTTTTCTATATTCTCAAGAACTGATGGAAGTCAGCGCACTGCCTTCTAGGCAAACCCAAGAGTGGTTCCACACAAAACCTCCACAAAGTATATAAGTCTATGAACGCTCAAGTTAACCCATGAATGTCAAGGCATTGCATCACCCCCAAGCGCTCCAGACTCCATCTCATGTCGTCAGAGAAGTTTGCATTTTTTAGACAGCAGGATTGAGTTTTTTCTACATCAACTTGGGGGAGTTGGGAAAAAATAGACAAAAGTTTGTGCATCTGGCAAACCATGATTCATATTTGTGACAATTGTACATCGCATTGCGCGCAAGAAGTCTTGGCACGGTGACAAGAAAGGTGAAAATCAAGGAGTCTTGGCATGTCAGCTACTTCAAATGCACATGCGCAGTAAGGTCCACTGTGAACATATTCCAAGTGCCAAAGGTGCCAAGTACCAAGATACGCATGGTTTACTTATCCAAATGCCATTCCAAGCGCCAAAGGTCTCAAGTACCAAGATACGCATGGTTTACTTATCCAGATTCCATATATGGATTGCCTTGATTCATTGACGCTAGGCCTTCAAATGTTACAGAACAAATGCACTTGATGTGGAAAACGCAAAGATAGACGACAAGTAAAACTGGGTGTTCAACCTCACAGGAATGCTCAGTAGATGAACCAGAAAATGTTCAGGTAAAAAATCCACATGCTCAAGGAAATGATCAACCAGAAAACGCTCAGGTAGAATCCACATGTTCAAGTACATGTTCTGACACTCTTCGATCAGTAAAACTCCTATTTTCGAAGACTCAGGGCACTGGACATGGTGGCGCGTGATCTTCGAGGTGCAGTGAATCATGACTTTTGGACACCTGGCTCGATGGCACTTTGTGAACCTCGAAGTGCAGATTTCGTGGCAGGCGCAGCACTTTGTGAACCTCGAAGCGCAGACTTCGTGGCAGGCACAGCACTTTGCGAACCTGGCCACCACCATGGTGGAAGAGCGTGGCGGAGCAGATTGCCGTTGGGAGTGAGCTTCTGGCACGTACCAGGCAACTACAACTAGTTTTATGGGTTCCGGAAGGCGACGTACCCGGCAACGTGCCAAGCAACGTGCCCGGCGACGTTAGGCATTTTGGCTGGCTGCACCCCCCCCGTTCCGACCGCTCTTGTGGGCAGAAATAGATGGTGTCGTTTGCCACCCCGGAAAAGCCCCCACTCGCTGGTTTGCTGCACGCCTGCGCGCCTTGTCTGGGAGTGGCCTTGCTGCCTTGTCTGGGGAGTGGCCATGCTGTAGCCGCGCTGCTGCTACAGCCCCCACTGCGAAACCCGCAGACGCCTGCACGGCTTGTCTGGGAGTGGCCACGCTGCCTTGTCTGGGGGTGGGCCCTGCAGGCTTCCACTGGGCACACCCCCATTCCAACCGCTGTTGCGGGCAGAAATAGATGGCGTCGTTTGCCGGGTCCCAAACCCTCCGCTGCAAGACGAGCCCGCAGGCCTTTCCCTACTGGAGCTTGCAGCGAGAAGCCATGGCCAAGGACCTACGCTACTATGTCTGGCCAACGCCAGCCCGTTTTGGGCAGTCTACAGCAGCAGCAGCAGCAGCAGGAGCCTTGGGAGTGAGCTTCTGGCAGGTGCCAACCAACTAGTCAACGCCCGTTTACACCAATCTACAGAACAGCCACTCTGTGCCATCACGTCGACTGTATACGCTAGCCGCGCTGCTGCTACTACTACCATAGCTCCTACGGCCTTGTCTGGGAGTGGCCACGCTGCCTTGTCTGGGGCGGCCATGCTGCCGTCGGTGGCCACCACCATGGTGGAAAAGCGCGGCGGAGCAGATTGCTGTTGGGAGTGAGCTTCTGGCGCGTACCAGGGCAACTACAGCTAGTTTTATGGGCTCCCGAAGGCGACGTATACCCGGCAACGTGCCAAGGCATTTTGGCTGGCTGCACCGTTCCGACCGCTGTTGTCGGC